TCAGACCAGTATTGTAATGAAGAATTCTGTGGAATAATTGAAAATCAAATCGCTTCCTCTTGTATTATAGAAAAGGCAATCCAGAACTTTTGTTTACTCCGCGCGGAGAGGTACACCATCGATACAGAAACGCTCACAGGCAGGGTTTCGCAATTATTCATATTTATGTAGAATGGAAGAAGGTGTATCAGATTCGACTTCAGGTCTGACATACATCTTGTATTCATGTATCAGCACCGCTGAATCCTTCGTTAGAAGAATTCTGTACAAACTGTATGAACACATCTGCAGCGGATTTTTGTGCAACTTACATAAATTTATTATATTTATCATTTACGTGTTTATCAGTCTATTTATTATGATCAGAACTGAGTTTTCCGGAGATGATGAAGCTCAAGTCTATTTGGTGTTCAAGTAACGATCATTGAATCACTGCATACTATTTCTTTCGAAGTTTTCAAGAGGTTAGATCGCAGAGACTTTATTCTGGGAAGAAAGTAGAAGCTGGTTAGATTATCATATTATAGTGTAGATAGGCCTATCCTATAATGGATATACATAGGTGGTGTAGCGAGAAAAGAGCATTTTTGTAGGGCATTAACACATGTCTATAAATACTTTATTACTTAGATATCATTATTAAATAATATACCAAACTTAGAGGACACACTACAACCGGTCGACCTTTGCACCGGATATGGGCTACACCAGGAGTGCCGAGGTGGGAGAATCATGCAGATGATTGAAGTGAAGCTGAGCTGCCACTAAACGACTGGTTATATAGTTGGCGTGCACGGCGTAGCGTAGGGTGGTGAATGGCATCAATCTCGTCGACGTAGTAGCTAGTAGCGAGGGTACACGAATGCACTAATACATACCATTTTCTGGTTTTTTAGCGCACAAAAACGGAGAGAATGCTGACCCGTCATCAAACCGTTCACAGAATCTCTGCACACCACCGACTGCGATTTCAGCCTCACCTTCTCGAATTAAAAGTAATTCTTGAAAGTGAGAAAATTGACTATAAAACCATGTTTCAGGGATAATAAAGTCTTCTCAATTTCTTCCTCAAGTCCTTCGTCCTCAACACTTACCGCCGAAAAACCAATTTTGACTAGCCCCAGACAAAAAACAACGAAAAACGCCAGTTCCTCTTCCTTTGTTGAATTTTAATTGGATTTTGTAACAGACATTAAATTCAGATAGTAATGGGTTTCTGTCTTGCATGGCCATGCAGGCCGTTCAAATACAGCGAATGAGTTTGTTCCCATCAATGAGGAAAATTGGACAGTAAGGTAAGGGTCAAAGAAGTTGCGGACATCGGTGCCATCCTTAAGCTGAAAGGCAAACGGGTTACGAAAAAGAAACTTTGTGTCGAATAGTTGTCAACGGTGGCCGTCACAGAGACGCGAGAGAAGCTGGACTATCTACCCAGTCTCTTGCGCAACTTTGTAATTTTGTGCCTTTATGCATGTTTTTTTCCACGATTTTTTTCATGTAGAAATGGATATAAGCGGAATGGGCCCACTAGGAAACCATCCCTTCTACGGAGCTAATTTCGGTAGTTCGGATCTTTCCGCATTGATACATCCGTCTATCTTGACCTGTGTTGCTTCCAAACAAGCGCGAATCTCATCTCCCTCATGGAGCTGTGAATCCATCTGCTTCTGAATGACTGGTCTTTAACAGTAATTCTTTCTGAAACCTGAAGGGTTTTCCGTCTTCCTGAGAGTGGTGTCTATTTTCAACCAAACATATCAATAGCGTGACCACAGCAGAAAAGCCTAGAGCCTAAAGCTGGCCGCACCTGTGTAAGCACACCTGTCCTGTGGCCATTTATGACCGTTGCCGGCTTCAGTGCTTGGCTGCATCCTGCAAGAGCATCAGCATTTGCAGAGCCATGATTTTCTTCGCATTTCTATTGTTAATTGTAGACGTTGACGGGAACTCAGGTAAGTCGATTGCCGTCCTTTCTGTCACAAACTTTTTTTAACTAGCTTCCATAAGATAACAGCTAACATTCATAACAAAGTGACCCTAAATTTGATGACTAACTGTTGAGAGTGACTTTGTCCATACAAAACACTAGCACGGTTGTGCTGTGGTCAATTAAAGCATGAATATAAGCCCTTTTTGATTCCCCTGCTGTGGACCTCTCACAATATAACAAAGCAAGCTAAGAAACGCTTTGAGCATCTATTCGTGGAAGATTTCGAACATGTTAGCCCTCATATGTTCGATTGAATTCGTAGTAATCTGCGTGAACCCAAAACATTTGAGAGGTTCTTAATAAACATTGATCAAAATAGAAACGGTCTATTGAATTTGTCTAACACAGAACAGTGACCAGAAAATTAACAGTAGGCCGCCTAAATGATCTTACGACCAACAAATTAAATACTAGAAGGTTACTTAGATGAAACGCCTAGATACTAACAAGTAGTGCAGTATTTACTCTAGAGTTCGCACAACTGACGAAAGATGGTGAACAAGGTCCTAGTTTCAGTTCAATGTGAAACGGAGACCGTAAACAACTAGTTCTAACGAATGCTCAAATACTGAAGAAATTTAATCTGCACTTGAAAAGAATAGTTCTGAACGGGGCATCATGAGAATCTAAAGTGTTAAAGCGCTCAAACTTTGTCTAGCAACGAGACGCCACTCATCTCTTTTGGCTTGAGAAGACCCATAACAGTGGGTGCAGACAGTGCAACATCTTAAAGAGCTGGTGCTCGATCAGTGAGCTTCTTGAATTTGAAGGCATTACTGCTGCATGTAAACGGTATACGGTTACAGGTGTGTGCGGTGTGTTTGCTGCCATTAGGAGCCTTCATCTTTTCATCATTGCCGTGGTCCGCAGTTACCATGAGCACGTAGTCATTAGCTTTGCAAGCTTCGAAACTCTTCCTATTGCTCAATCAGTGGCCTCACATGCCTTGACAGCAGCTTCGTATACTCCAGTATGGCCAACAATATCATCGCAGCCAACCTGAATCTTTAATGCTCCTGTTTTATCCAGCGTTAGGTGCTACCTCTTTTCTCAAGTCNCAAGCTTCGAAACTCTTCTTATTGCTCAATCAGTGGCCTCACATGCCTTGACAGCAGCTTCGTATACTCCAGTATGGCCAACCATTTCATCGCAGCCAACTTGAATCTTTAATGCTTCTGTTTTATCCAGCGTTAGGTGCTACCTCTTTTCTCAAGTCCACTTTCAAACGTTTGATTTCCGCTCGTAGGTTGTGGTTTCTCCGCTTGTCACCGCTTCACGATGTTTCTGAATTCACCCTTACAATCAGAAAAGCGATAATTGTTCCTTAAGGTGAATTCAAAGCACAGTGAACAAAAACTGATCGGTAGGACAGCAGCCCAATTAGCGTCTTTCGAATCCAGAATAAGCTTTTTACCATACTTGCACTCGTTGAGTCCCGTTGTGTTCTTTGCATTTTTGTATTTCTGGTATTTGCTGCTTCTCTTGATGCCCTAGCATAGCAAACCTTCGATTACCTATCTGATAAATTGGGATTAGCCACTAAATAATTGAGCAGTGTGAGGAGCTTCGTTTCTTGGCTTACCAATACTATAGTTTTCTGCGGCTACCAGAGGATTACAGTGGTCGATACTTTAGCCAATTTTGAGTGTTGGCGAAGTTCAGTCCATAACTCGGTGACTTTTTGAGATTTTTGAGCTCTTCTCCGGTTAGTAACTCATCCTAATTGGTTGTCATTATGTTATGTCCTTTACTTCTATTTTTGGGTGTCGCTCCTCAAGAGGGTAGAAGGCTACATTTCCATTTCTGCAGCGACTGTTAGAGTACCCAAAAAGATGAGAAAATTCAGTCGGTTCAGTTCAAAAGCCACTACAACAAAATCAGCAATCACGGAGTATCCCACATCATCTACGACATCTTTGGAACGCTCCGACAGAGCGGTGATGTCCTCCTTCCGTCCATTCGTCTTCTGTAAATTGGCTTTGTGACGTATGTCTTCAAACGTTTGGCTTTGATCTATTCCGTCTGAGGGAAGCGCCCCGTGGTCGACTTAGGTTCAGAATCCTATGGCTTAATGAATTCGAATGCGACCTATACATTGAATTGAAGTGGAACTCTGTCGATGTACAATTCAGTGCTTTTGTTTTCCCGGACGGATCTGGCACCAAGTGACCGAACCCGGAAAGATGGAAGGCTTGGTTGGCCCAGGCGATCCCGGATTCGAACCCGTGGCCATGCGTGTGGTAGTGCGCCACTTGCCACCACACCTTTCGCCGTTTCTGAAAGCGTAGTAGTCGCAAGTGGTTGAGTCGCCTTGGGTATTAAGCAATCTCCTTCACAATAAGAGAGTTTCCTTGCATTTGATGAAGAAGTGTGAGCTCGAAACAACAGTCTTGAACAATCTCGGTATGAGAGAAACGCGGTGGGGTGCTTCAGTGAGCTTTGTCGAGGCAAATCTCTCTTCTAAAAAAGTGGTCGTACCGCCTTCAGCCAATCGCAAGGGAGGGTGCACTGCTCCACAGTGACGACCGTAACTCATTCCAAGCCTGAGATTAGGAGCGATCTCATTGGTAGTAATAAAAGTAGTCGCGTCCGTGGTCATGCTGTTCCTCTGACGTTTGGTCAATTAAATTTACTTTCAAAGACCAAATGAGCTACCGACTACCTTCAGTACTAATCTATCTAGAGTGTCCTTATCTCTTCACTTGTTCTGTAGCTCTGCTTTAGCACATCCCGTGAATATGTCCTTTTTAGCAGGGCATATATCGTGCATGCCTATCGAACTGAGACATTTTTATCTTCCTTAACCCTAACTAACCAGCCTTACCCGTGCTAGCTCAACCTTTCCTGAAACACCACAGTTGTCAAGTATTACAGCTGTACCCGCGAGATTTCGGTGCCAGTGTTCATCAACATGCAATAACAGGCATCCATGTGGAACACCTCCACGTCAAATGTACTCTAGCAAATGTCGCCAGGTCGTATTAGAAATCTCATAGATATGTAGGAGGGAATGTCAGCTCCAGCACTCAACTTCAGGGTGAATCATGCCGACATAGAGTTGGAATTGAAAGCCGTACGAATGGAATTTTTTCACGACCACCGCATCGAAAAGAAGTCCTTGGTTAGTAAATTGGGTATTGGCGATTCAAAGTGACGAGATCACATAGAAAATTATTACGAGAAAAATGTTTTTGAATGCGATTGCCTGCCTCGAAAAGGCTCGCTGAGGTCCTTCGACTGATTAGTAAATGTGTACTTTTTCCAAGAAATCACGACCTTTTCAACCAATATTCTCCTTGCGATGGAATTATGATTATTTTTCAGTCGTCTCGGAGCACTACTGTCCAGGAGGAGGATCGGTTGTGATCGGATATGACGGCAAACTTTCAACTTGTGATATGCTGAGGCAATGTGGTCCTAATCAGATTTGCAATCCACAATGTGGGCTGTGTTGTACAAGTGAGTGGCTGTTGTTATAATTTGTTAGCACATTCCCAGCTGTTGAAAATGGGTCCCTTCAAACTTCTATCTTGAGAGATGATCCCTCATAATTTAAAAAAAGTTAACCGCAATGAGTTGCAAAACTTCTTACTTTGCCTACAAGTCCATTGTTTAACTAATGTTCGTTTCACACAAAATAGACGTGAGAGGGCGCAAAAGTCCACAAAGTAAGATAAGGACGAAGAAAAGTCATATTTGTCTCGCTACCTTTCACGTGCTACCACTGATCTGTATTCAGCTTCCTTCTTCATTATTTCTGTTCTCGAACTGGTAAAGATGGTGTGAGGCCCAAATTGTTACATATCCGATAGAAGCACTTCAGAAAGGGATTACTAAAAATCGCCATATGTAGTTATGACCATGGGTAATCGATGAATTTGAACCAACGAATAACTACGAAATGATAGGAAAGGTAGTCTATATAGAGGAACCGAAAGGTAAAAGGGCGGGGTGAACAATGCTGAGTAGAGAGAACACGAATTATATTTCAGCCATCACAAGACCATCACAGCAAGAGCAGTAAAAAATATTAAGATTCATCCACTTTACTAGATGGTTGTTTCACCAAAACTGAAGCAGATGTGAAATTAAGAACTTCGAACGTGCCCACGTCCAGCTAAAACTATGCTAAACGCCATCACAGGGAAACCAGTAATGTGTCAGGTAAGTCATTGTATCTGATTCCACGATATTACCAAATCTTTTGGAATCAGATCAAATTCGGACAAATTATGCCGTGTCCTGATAGTGGGTATTGCGAAACCAAGACCGGATTCTGCTGCAAAAGCGACAATATCGCCCCTAAGCCATTACCATTTGAAGGTGGGTGAGCAAAAGTGATGCATTTCTGGAAAATTTGAAGGCTTCATTTGATCTTACATAAGAACTTATAAAAGTCATTCAGAGAAATACGGAGGAACATCGCCCAGTCCAGTTAAGTCTGGAAGGCCGTTCCCCGTTTCAGTGAGAACCCTACCGTGGCGAGGACAGCTATGTCTTGTGCGTGATGGATGCGACGGTGGAGCTGTATGCACCTGTGATAGTGGTGGTAAATGTCGTTGTGAGTGCCCGGCCGAGCTCGGCTACACTATAGCAGCCGATGGAAAAACATGCAAGAGAGTACGACGACGACTCAAAGTTAGTTCAAATTCTTTGCGACAAGTCCATCTAGATGACAGCTTGTTACACTAAGACAATGCCCTAGAGAGGGCTAGACATGGAAAGTTTGTATGTCGTTTCAATTGCTGAGATACTAATAAATGAAGTAGCTGCAACTTCCTTACAGCAAGAGATACTTCCTGTTGCATACCAGTGAAGACCATTCCATCCCGAAGAGTACGCTGCTTGAATGCCAGTAGCCATTATGCAATGAGAGCGGATCAGGAACAGCACAACACTTCAACCAACTGCTAAACCACAAAAGAAACTTCGAAGAGTGACTTGCTTTACATTTTAAAGGCACAGTTCATGGTATTTGAGGTACCCCTTTCAATTCACAAAACGGAAGTGAAGGTTGGGAATAGTTTATCGGTAGTGAAGAAAGCGAGAAAATTCGCCAATTTCGAAGGAAAAATGGCTACACAAAAGTAGGGGAAATAAAGGTCGGACGAGGTCACCATTGTAAGAGGTTTTCGGACAAGATTGCAGTTGTGGCAATTGCGCAGAAAGCCCACTACAGCAAGCCAGAACTGTACACAACTGTTTTTCACTGTCGTTATGGGTCACGACAAGTCGTTTGAACTTCCTACATGGGTTTCCTTGTGATTGGTGCAGCCTCTATAATGCCGGTGGAACTCGTCCGAGGATACACACGGGCCAATCTTTGAGCCTTTACAACTCCCTAACTGGGCCGTTTACCGACTTAATAGCGCCAGATATGGTATACGCGGGGGTCTAAATTCCTCCTGTGGGGGAATCTCAGAAACTATTTTTATCGTGAACTGTACCTTTAAATGAAACTACGTATGGAAAGTTGAACACAAAAATCAACTGATAGCACGTNCATATTAGTATGTAACATAACTAATGCGAAGTATAGGCTCATTTTTCCAGGAGAAATGCAAATCCGACATGGAGTGCTCNGAAGAAAGCGAGAAAATTCGCCAATTTCGAAGGAAAAATGGCTACACAAAAGTAGGGGAAATAAAGGTCGGACGAGGTCACCATTGTAAGAGGTTTTCGGACAAGATTGCAGTTGTGGCAATTGCGCAGAAAGCCCACTACAGCAAGCCAGAACTGTACACAACTGTTTTTCACTGTCGTTATGGGTCACGACAAGTCGTTTGAACTTCCTACATGGGTTTCCTTGTGATTGGTGCAGCCTCTATAATGCCGGTGGAACTCGTCCGAGGATACACACGGGCCAATCTTTGAGCCTTTACAACTCCCTAACTGGGCCGTTTACCGACTTAATAGCGCCAGATATGGTATACGCGGGGGTCTAAATTCCTCCTGTGGGGGAATCTCAGAAACTATTTTTATCGTGAACTGTACCTTTAAATGAAACTACGTATGGAAAGTTGAACACAAAAATCAACTGATAGCACGTAGAAGTGAAACTTCCTTTCTTTGGACTTTAGGAGCGTTCCACCCTTTTCAGGAAAATGAAGGAGGAACTGCCCATGTTCTTGAGATGAGGCTTGCTGTTGGTCTACAAGTTACGGTCCCAGTAGGGCACATACCTTCCATGCCGAGTCTTTTACTGAATGCCCTAGAACCTAAGCATCATGGGTGGCTGTATCATTATTTAGCGCAGCGAATAGTACATTTATTAGTGTGTACGTATGTATATTGGGATAGTACAGTAACATATTAGTATGTAACATAACTAATACGAAGTATAGGCTCATTTTTCCAGGAGAAATGCAAAACCGACATGGAGTGCTCTTCAGCCTTTTCAGAATGTACAACAGGTGGATGTCGTTGCAGAAAAGGCTTCCAGAGAGATGGTAGTGACGGATGTAAGCCTATAAGTGAGTAGCTTATCAGAATTCGCAGAGAAGTTCGTTGAAGTATCGAGGATTTGAAAGAGGCGGAGAGAACAGATTTTCGATGAAGAACCGTCGCTTCGAAAATTTGCCAAAACCTTTAACTAGATGCTGACTCCAAATTAATGGATCACTCCGATACATTTACTCAATCGCATCGGGCATTGGGCAAGATGAGTCTTGGCAGAGATTACCGTGCCTGTGAGCAATACTCTCAGAACCAGTAATCCTTTGCTCATCCGATACGATCACCATTCAGTGAAGAAGCTACTAATTGGGGACAGAGCAGATTCTGCTCACACACTAGTCGTGCCTAGTGCCCTTTTTGTGTTCGGATCGAACCTCTTAATACTTATATTAAGGTTATAAATGCGTAAACAATGGACAACCGCTGATGATCTCCGGAAAAATTGTATCTTGTTCGATGAGATCAGCAGCTGCTAAATTAATGTTCAGTAGCCAGAAGAGGAAACCTATGAAGGCGAAGAATACCACTAAGTTAGGTGAGGAAGTAAGCTTCATCTTCAAAGGTAATAGTTGAAAGGATTTTATGGGTTGGCAGTAGACATGCTGTCTTCCAAAATGTTGATCAAGTAAAAATCTTCAAGGTAGTGGCTAAAACATCTTTGCAAAGTAGGACGCAGAGTGAGTTGAGCGGAAGAGCAGCCATCTACCATGTTGGATGATAATGAGTTATGAACTCACCTTTCACTTTCCATTTTCCTCTCCCCCAATACACAGCTACCTTTTTCACTGAATCTTCCATGCAGCCACTTTTTACCTCTCGGCCTGCGTTTTCCAGTGTGGCATGGTGTGACTCAACAATAAGTTTCTTGTGGGCCTATGCCTGAATTGTCAAGGCATATAAGCTGGAAACGACGTTACTGTTGGCTGAGGTCTGCCTGATGGGAAAAAGTCGAACCCTTTCGCCATGTTGATCTTGAGAGCAGATTAGTCGGAATTTTTACTACATATACATAAACGCAAATAGGGAGAATTCTGATGGCTTGAGCTTTATTTTAGCTGCTAAGTCACTTGGTGACAATTAATTAAACTAATATCATGGGAAGAATAGTAGAGTATGAGGCCTCAACTACAGATTGCGATTATGGGATGCTAGAAAGAGTATAAACCACTTCTCAACTTACCCACAGCTATACTATTATATTTTACAGCTTTCTAGCGCTCAAGTAATGATTTCTCTAATAAGGGGCACCACGTTCTGGCTTTTCGGCCTTTCAATTCTACTCAAATGAGTCGAGCGTGGTCTTTTTCCCCTTTGATGCTTCGGCTTCTTCCTTGCTTATTCAACCAAACCCAGCTCTATTAATTCAGTGAGCACAAACTCATCATTATCGGACTGGAGTGAGCGAGATGACTGTCCCGACAAATACTACTGTGTACCGCTCTTCGACGACGCTATGAAACCAGGATTTTATGAGGTAGAATTGTTGCTGTAGATAAATCTAAAAACATTACAAAAAATCATGAAGGGATTTTGCTGCCCGTTACCTGGAGAAAATCACCCGGTTTGTCCTGTGGGCGAACCTCATGAGACGAGTGCACCGCCAGACTATGGTTGCGACCACTGCCCAATGGAATACTACTGTCACAAAGATGCAGTCTTTTCTAATCAACCTGTAAGTCTTACAGGAGTCGCAGGAGTCAAAGAAATGGAAAATGCCAATAGTGGACTGTCCTTTTCAAAAGTGAGCTTCCTTCAGATTTGCTGTCCAAAGCCATGCATCTCTATGGAGGATATCTACTACGATGGACAGTGCTACTCAACTGCTTATTATGGAGACAGTTGCCATGTGAGTGAGAAAACTGACTGATGCAAGTTTCCGCCTTTATTAGTCTGAGCGCCATAAATGATCTCTATGACGACTTGGGACTTTCGTGCCCGGGTCTTTTACCTTAGATGCCTTGGGCGAGTAAGCGACAAAAAACTCACTGACCATGTACTCGTGAAGGCACTACGTGTTTCACCAGCCCTATTTTGAATCGGGTGGTAGCCTTGAAAACGCTATTAAATCGTGGGGTGCTTTCTCCCCGCGATTTGATAGTGTCCATAGGTTCCAGTGTCCGGGTATTTGAGGACTAGCCTTGACCAACATCGAAGATGGTCGCTTAGCTTTCTTGTTACGCTATTCTTGCCACCAGCACAATAAGACAACAGAATATTACCACTTCATTGCGCAGCAGCGAATGGATACCTCAAAATTGGGTAACTACTAAACCCAAGTTTGAGGCATACGCTTGTAGCGGCACAAACTCAGATAATACGTAATCATAGAAAAGACGAGGCGAAGAGGAAGCAATGTATTGTCGAGCGAAGGCAATGTTAGGACTGAGACCGGCGAGCCGACTTGATTCTGAGGTCCCTTTTATTGAGGAGTGACAAGTAGCACGTGCGCCGTCCACAGCTAGCTGCCAAAGCTCTTTTGTATGGTGTCTTCGAAAACATTCTAAGGGAGAGCACATCTGGACGATAACACTCTTCCGATTGCATAAAGCCTTTTCTGTGTTAAAGAAAATTACAGCTGGACCTATACACTTTTTCTCGCCTCACCCAAGTCTCGCAACTCGCGGATTACCGCGATAGGGTATTTCATTCTAGTTCAAGTGCATGTCTTTGTTCTCTGAGGTCTAGCCTGGAACCCTCGATTCAAACTTGATCTCCTTCTCTTAACAAAAGAGCTTCCATTACCTAAGAGTTTTACTACTACGAGATTCCCACGAAAAAANATAGGAATCCGGCGGTGTATTTTTTAACTTTTTACTGTAACAGCGCATTTCATACTCTATTTCATTCAGATATCTGCTCAGTGCTCACCGTCTCGTAATTCAACTGATGAGTTTTCGGAGAATTCTCCACTGGAGTGTGTTAAAGGAGTTTGTGTTTGTCGAGCGGGCTATAGCCACATAGAAGGCGAATGCAAAAGTACGTTACTTAGTAGAGTTTGGATAGTTTGGATAAGCCTATGGGATTTCACCTTATCATTAGGCTTAAGCTCTGCGGACCTTTGAAACAGTTCCGTTTCTATGTGCTGACTGCTGATGCTATTATTTGAAGGGGTGATGTGCACGATAGGACTGCGTGGTGAGCCGTCCGTAGACAGAAATAATCAGCTGATCCGATGTGCACGATCCGATGACTGCTCTCAAGGACAAATGTGCGATCCCAACACGCACGTCTGCTGCAAAGGAGCAAACAGTAAGTGCATTTTTCAGAAGTGCCAAGTTCACTCCCGGAAACACTGACACTCGCGATAGACACTGCCTTAGTAATTTTTCCTGCCCAAGGACTTCCTTACCCGCCCTGTGCACACGTCGGCATGCTGCGTCCACTGCCATCAACTTATGCTTTCTTCGACTGTCTTTGATTGCCACCTGAATATGAATGACCCACAGTATCGTATGAGCAATGATTGAAAGGTCTCCACCGGTTATATATAAGCAATGAGTAGGTTCCGTGACAAAGTTTACCCCAATAGTTTTTCGGGTCGCCCAGTTGCAAAGCTCTCAGTCCAGCTCGCATCAATCGCAGCTATTTGACATTGAGGTCTGAAGAGGTTTCGCATAACTGCACCATGTTACCTACGAATTCTCAATCTTCTCTGCTCAATTCTTTTACCGTGGTACTCCCATTTCAGCAGGACGCCTACCAAACAGTTGCCATTTTCATCCTAAAATTGACGTCGCAGGCCCGCATTTTGCCTTTACATTCCTCCGAGCAATTTCTTTCAGTTTCATTGGAGTGTTTTAATCCTGATATGAATTGACTTTGAGAGCCATATGGCCCTTGAGGGTATAGGGAAAAGCAACATCTGTTCAGCACTTTCCCCAAACCACTCTCGCACCAAACAGCGATAGCAAAGTTAGCCCATGTTCGACCTGTTCTTACAATTTTTGCATGAATAGGTAAGTCAGAAAGTCTCCTCTTCGAACCTTTCGATTTTGGAAGGTGTGAAGAAGAAGCATTCTGATAGTGAAGTTGTTCTTTTTCAATTGAAGCCAGATCTTGGTGTAGCGAGTGAAAAAGATGCTCAGAGTAAAATAAGGAAGCACGAAAGTTCGAGCATCCCAGATACGTAGTCAGAAAGCCCGAGCTTAGCTCCGAGGCCGCGGTTCCCCTTTCCTCCAGTACAAGCTTGACCGTAGATGGATGCGCCTTCACAGGCCTTTCCATTATATCGGAAGAAAGCCGCTTTGACACTGCTAATAAGTCTTGGATTATCTCTGCTTTCAAGCAGAAGCACCTTGCTCAGCAGTATGGATCAAGACTACTTTCTCGAGCCGTTTCAAGTATATGGGAATATGTTTAAAATTCACTTAGAGCACGTGTTACATCAACTAGTTAGATATATCGTGTATAAGAAAACAGCGGAAAAGGGTAAGACCTTTCGTAAGATCCCATCTTTTTCAGGATGCCCGAAAGGATACGTGGAAAATGGTTTGCTATGCGAAAACGACAAATGTCAACGACCCGGCAGCCTCTGCTTTCGGGCCAAGACAGGGAAGGTGAAAATATGTTGCGTGATGGACAACAAGTTTTCATAGGACAAATTNCATCAACTAGTTAGATATATCGTGTATAAGAAAACAGCGGAAAAGGGTAAGACCTTTTGTAAGACCCATTCTTTTTCAGGATGCCCGAAAGGATACGTGGAAAATGGTTTGTTGTGCGAGAACGACAAATGCCAACGACCCGGCAGTCTCTGCTTTCGGGCCAAGACAGGGAAGGTGAAAATATGTTGCGTGATGGACAACAAGTTTTCATAGGACAAATTAAGAATATGCACGGATTCAAAACGATCTTGCTGTGTACGTTTCATAAACGCTATCCTCATGTTTTGTTCGGTACTATTAAGTTGATTTGGATTTTTTTTTGTGTTCATTACTATAATGTTGTATATAAAGATTTCTTTCACATGAAATAGCGCATTTCGCAAACGACCCATTCCAATTTTCGACGAAGCCTTTATAAAGGCTTCGAAGGTCTGGAAGGAGGCAAAACAAAATAGTAGATCCATGGAACAGTCAGAGAATGTCCACGGGACCATAATCTCCACGAAGTGTTCCTGAAATTAAGATAATTATGGAGTTTTTGCACGGTCTTCTAGATTGAGAAATGTTTAGGATGAACGAGGGTTTGTCAGAAGCCCGCAGCCTGCCATTCAAATTTCTAAAAATTCCGACTTCGGAAGGCTAGAGCGGAATTCTAGAAATAAGGCTTTCAGTGCAAGAACACATGATCAAAGGCCAGGTCTCTCCGAAGGAGCGATCAGGAATAAAGATGGACGGAGCGTGTTAGCCTCTTCAATTCTACCAACTTTAACTAACAAGGGAGTCGAAGTGGCCATTTGGAATGAGACCTACACTGGTAGACGTACTTTTTGGTGCTGATTTCGAATCTGCATTCAAAAACTGCTAAACGATTCTCTGAACGAAGTTATGGAGATGGTCTTAGACAGCAAGCTTAGTTAGAAGACATGGTCGCCAGCAGAAACGCAGGTGCGCCTTGGAGTAGCGGTAAGCGTGACGCTTGTCAGGCATGGGACTAAGGATCGGGTTTGATGGGCGACGGCGTTTTTGCGTTTTGCGGGACTTCTTCCTCCAGGACAATCTGCATTGAAATTTTGTTCATTGCTCTCATTGGAAAAATTTCTCTGTTGTACATTGAACAAATAAAAATTTGCTAGAAGTGGTAGAACTAAAATAAAAAGATTTCTGCAACCTGGAGGAAAAAGACCTGCAATATGCAAAAACGCCGTTACCCACCAAACTCGATCCTTGGTCCCATGCCTAACACGCTGTCAGCGTCACGCTTTTTAGCGTCGAATTTTACGACGACCATGTCTTTTGTGTTTGCTCTCTGGAAACCACCTCCATGACTTCGTTCAGAGAATCGTTTGGCAGATTTTGGATGCAGATTCGAAAACAGCATCAAAAAGTACGCCTAGCGGTGTAGGTCTCATTTCAAATGGCCACTTCGGCTTGGGAACCTTCTCTTGTAAGCCAGTATGACAGAAAGTATACCGTCTACGAGGGCTGCCTTTTATGTTTTGAGATTTGGTAACACCTGTGAAACAATCTGGCAACTGACACCACTATCGTAAAGTTTGACTATTTTGAGGTTACGTTGCAAAATTTGAGTGCGATTTGTGTTGTTTACACTGGAGTATAAAATTTTGTTTAGGCCAAGTTATGGGGTTGAATCGTGAGCATTTTCGTGCGAGTATTTTCTACAACATTCGACGTGGACTAACTCAACAGCAATGCATGGATGAACTTAGTTCAATTCTTGGTTATGAAGCCCCATCCAGGGCCAGTGTTTATCGATGGTTCCGTGAGTTCACCCGAGGTCGTAGTTCACTCGAAGAAGAATTTCATGGAGGTCGTCCAAAATCAGTTGTTGTTCCGGAAACCGTTGATACTGTGCACAAACAAATATTGTAAGACCGTCCTGTGACCTATCGTGAGATTGGGACAACCTTAGGCATTGGTGGGACCAGCATACATTCAATATTGCATGAACATTTGACTGTGAAAAAATTGTTTTTGAAAAATTTGTCAATCCCCCGAAAAAGGGAGTCGTGTGGATTGGTCGAAAGAAATGCTCAAAAAATACGATCGCGGTGCTTCGAAACACGTCTATGACATCGAAACAGGTGGTGGATCATGAATTTATGCGTATGAGCTGGAAAGGAAACAGCAGTCGACCGTATGGGTATTTCAAGATGAGCCAAATCCAACAAAAGCTGTCCGCGCACCAAGCACTTCCGGGCAATTGGTCTCCTGTTTCTTTGAAGAAACTGGACATGTCGGAACCGTACCACTAGTGCAAGCAGAACAGTCAATTCTGAGTGGTATACAACCATTTGTTTGCCAGTTGACTTCCAAAAAATCGGGAAAAACAACTGCTGGAGACGGATCACTCTTCACCACGACAATGCGAGCTCTCACACATCGGCTC